ATACTTACCAAAAGGTTCCACAAACTTTGCAGGCATATTTGGACATGTGCTTCATATGTGTCTGAAGATTGGTTGACTCAGCAGTTCCATTTCTGGCCAGTAGCTCTTAAGTCACAAAACAAAAATTTCTATCAGTTGTCCCACTTTAGCTTTCCATTCGTTTGTATTTGTCCGTCCAGGTACATGCCGATACACTAAGAACTATTAGTTTCTTTGAACCATGGTAGTTTGGTGCTGTAGTTAGACACATTGGAATACCATCTCTAGAATAGTTGTTATCGAAGTATTTAATGGTCTTTATGTATAACTCTTCTATGCTGTCTTCCTCTTTCAATGGAATCCAAGTAACGTCTTTTGGTTGATGACTGTTCCATTCTTCATGTATCAATTTTACAGGGTTTCAGAAAAGTTGATCCAGATCGCTGGGAATTTGCAAATGAGGGATTTTTAAGAGGCCAAAAACAATTACTAAAGAGTATTGTGCGGCGAAAACCTTCTCAAGTGCAGCCTCAACAACAACCTCAAGTTCAGCACTCATCTGTTGGTGCGTGCACTGAAGTGGGGAAGTTTGGACTCGAAGAAGAAGTGGATAGACTCCAGCGGGATAAGAACGTCCTTATGCAGGAACTTGTAAGGTTAAGGCAGCAACAACAAGTTACCGAACATCATCTACAAAACGTGGGACAGAAAGTTCATGTGATGGAGCAGAGGCAGCAACAAATGATGTCATTTCTGGCTAAGGCTGTCCAAAGTCCAGGTTTCTTGAACCAGTTTGCGCAGCAGAATAATGAGGCAAACCAGAACATTTCTGAAAGCAACAAAAAGAGGAGGCTACCTGTTGAGGACCAGATGAATTCTGGAAGTCACGGGGTTAATGGTCTTAGCCGCCAGATCGTGAGATATCAGTCATCGATGAATGAAGCAACAAACACTATGCTACAACAGATACAAAATATGAGTGACTCACATAGCCAGCATCAAACCCTATCCAACAATCATGGTAGCTTTCTTTTGGGCGATGTTCCAAATCCTAACCTTTCAGACAATGGGAGCTCCTCAAATGGTGCATCTGGAGTTACATTGGCAGATGTTTCATCCAATCCTGCACGCTCACATCCTTCAATGGAGTATCACGACCCTTGTGAAACAAATCATGTCCTGGAGACCAATTTACCTTATTCTCAAGGTGATCTCTTAGCTCCAAAGCAAGGAGTAGCAGTAGAAGCAGCTTATGGGAGCCCGAACTCGGATCTAGTTGGGTGCGAGGCAGATAATGGAGAGTGTTTGGATCCAATAATGGCTGTTTTGGATGGCTCAGTGGAACTAGAACCCAATGCCATAAACGAGTTGATTCCTGGAGTCCAAGATACCTTTTGGGAACAGTTCCTTGGCGAGAGCCCAGTGATTGGTGACACCGATGAGCTAATCTCAGGATCAGTGGAAAATAATCTGATAATGGAGCAGCTAGAGTTACAATCCAACCTGGGGAATGTGTGGAGCAAGAATCAACAAATGAACCATCTTACTGAACAGATGGGACTTCTCACATCTGACGCGCTAATAAGGAAATGAGATCGCCACAAGGTCATATACTAATCCATCTTTCTCTATTGATGAGTTATATATTTCCATACACTTTGCAAAAAAAATATGCAAAAACGTTTCTCGTTCTTGCAGATGTAGAAGATGGCTCAAGTCGCAGCAACAAAAGGATAAATGGACCAAAGGAGAGGTGTGGATGTATGTTTGTTTCAAACTTGTGTGTAATTCTCATTCTTGTCATTGTGTAATAAATTTAGTAAGATAAATTATAGCCGTAAGGTTGTTTTTTTTTTTGCACTATATTTGGAAAGAAATCTTTGCTTCAAGAATTGCTATGTAACAGAAACAACTTGTTCGAGATATAAATAGCTTTCACGTCCTTCTGTAATTCTGTTCTGACTAAGGATCAAGTGTGTAGTATATGTTAATGAAATTAGATATTTGTAATTAAAAGAGGCAAGTACTTTCGATAATGTAAATAGTTCAGTTGGTAAAGTAAGAACTTTGTATGAAGAGTTGGTATTCAAACTCTTACGTTGGACATACGTATTACGTAGTAATCCATTTTTTGAGAAAATAATCCATTTAC